TAACACTCTTGGGTGACTACACACTACGAAAAAGTCATGTAAATTTCCGTGCCCTGTGACTGACTTATCCGGAGTGATTTGAGATTTGGGCGTAATTGATTTTGTAAACAAACACTTCAATTACAATTTTTCTTGAATAAAAGCTCAATCTCACAAACAAACTATACCAAATGATAGAGGAATCATTCCTCTACCTCATAGTGTTATTACTTTTCGAGATTGAGCTTTTATTCACGAGAAATCGGTGATTGACGTGTTTGTTTACAAATGCAATTATGCCCAAATCTCGAATCACTCCGGACATGCAAGCGGCCCAAATGACATAAGAATCAGTTGAAAGAAACGAGAAAATCAATTCAATCAAGCGTAATTTTCGTCGAGTTGCGCATGTTTCGGTTTGGGAACACTTAATTTTACATGACATGTTTGTTTACGTTCCATAATTTACGTCAAATATGGATTACGTCTCGTGTAAAAATAGTTATTTCTAAGTGTGTATAATAAAAAAAAATAAAAATAAATGCCGAGCAGGTTTATGATTGACTAACTGAACAGTTTTATTCAATGACAGAATGCTGCATTAAAAGCATTTTAATGCAACAGGTCCGTACCATCAGACAGCAAAATGCTAAACTACTGACTAAGAATGTTTTGCCCTATTAAATGCTGTATTTAAACTAATAAGATTGCTTATTGCCATTATAAAACCACAATAAATCAGTGTAAAAGCCAAAAAGCTGCTAAAATGTTACTTGGGTATTTTGAAGAGATTTGTCCATAGAACAATATTAGTGAAGACATGTATAACGTTTGAGCTCAAGTTTCTCGACAGTGATCAAACATTGAACTGATCTATAAATAGATCACTGGGCGTTAAGGGGCTAACTTTGTCTACGGCGTCATTTATGATTTGTGGAAAAATATCGAAAACGCCATTTTTAAGTTTTTTTGTGAGATTTAAAATGGTCAAATATTAGCTCAAAATGTGAATTATTGACCATAACAAACAATTAAGCAAAGTTTCATACAAATCGGAGAAGGTCGCATTAGATCGATTCAACATTTGGCATGGAACTGCTCGCCTGTCATTGGTACTAGCTCTAAATTGATAAAATACATTGCAATCATCGAAACTCTTGCGATCCGTGTCAGCTTTCCACCTAGCCTCCACAGATCTCTTCAACGATTGCACCAAAGTGCATTAAAATTTGCATCCGTTTGATTGAGGCGGTAATTTCCTCGCCCAATTAATTAGAACCATCGCACTCCGGGGGGGGGAGGGGGCAAGGACAAAAGAAGAACATGCATTGCCCATGGAAAAGGGTTCCGGTTAGAGCAAAAAGCCTGAAAAAATTTAGTGGGTTCTGGAAAATTATCGTACTTGCAAAGAGCACCACTCCACTGCCGGCGTGAAACAAAGACCCAGCAATCAACCAATTAACTCGTTTCGCGTTCCAGAAACAAAATATGCAAGAGCAAAGCCCGCCCGCTGCTGTCGTCGTCGTCGTCGCCGTCGCCATCGTCGTTGCTGTAATAATCGTCATCATCATCAGCTGCACAGCTCCATCACACAAACAAAAGGCGCATAAGGCACTTACAACTGCTGCGAGGGTTGCTGTCGATGAATAACAATAGACTGCACATGGGTACCTACTTTTGTGTTCATGAATATTTTCGATGGCAGCCACCACCCGTCCAACAGCTCTGGCGTGGGCTTTCTAATAAATATTAATTAATCCTTTTGCTTAAAATCAACAATTATCGCAATAACGCGGTATAATTACTGCCGGTTGAACCCCCACTACACCATCATCGCCGGGGCTGGCTGTTAGGCAGCGTGCAGTATTATTGCAGTGAAGGGTGTAAATGTGCGGTGACGTGACCATGCAAACTGAATGCACTTCCTGGATTGCAGGCTCAAAAAATTTCCGCAGATGTCACACACATTGATTTCCCATTTTTTTTTTCTGCCCCTTGTGCTGTCCAAGGGGACCTCAAGGTTCAACGTCTTTTAGTAGGTCATTACGACTGATTGCCCGCAGATTTTTGCTGTCTTTCCCGGCAAATTACTATACCACCGCGTGACCGTGCAACAACCGTACAATTTGCGTAAAGCTATCAATTTGGGATCCTCACTCTTGACAGCTCCCGCTCACGTGAGATTCCTTGGGGTTAGGGTTACCATGGGAAATTCAGGTCTCGCCTTATCAGAAAATTGACAATGAGACAAATTGAATTCAAACGTGGAATCTATGCCAACGACGACAATCAAAAGCTGCAGGTCTTCAACAACCGGTGCCAGCTGGGGTTTTTTTTAACTTTATTAAGGAGATTTTTAGCCTTTGGCTAGTTCATCTCCAGTGCCAGCTGGGGATAAAAACGCACAGTTGTCTCAAAATTCAATAAGGTCGGAACAAATCATAATTATAATTTTGTATTGAATATTGAAGGATTTCGTTCAATTTGCTACAACTTTGTCACAGAATACATTTCGATTAAATGAGCCGCTTTCGTGCTATGATTTATTAGAAAATTTAGATAGGAGTCAAATGGCCGAATTCATGCCTATAGCTAACAATCATAAATAGTTTCATGGAATTCTTAAAGGTAAAATCTAAAATGTGTGCGTGTGTTTTCTGACGTAGGACTACGTCTTTCTTTACTATATTCGCTGTAACTGTCCGGGTACAGTTGTTCATCGTGCAATACGCCGCATTTGGGGCCATGTTCATCAAGAGCGTCATCATCATGTCGAAGAACATCAAACTCGCTCATCGTATTCGTGGAGAAAGTGCCTACAGATCTCAAAATTCCCCAATTACACGGTACGGTGGACCTTAGAAGAATATGAATATGTGTGTAATCCACGCTAAGTGTGTCATCATCCCAAAGGCCTGCAGCTCGTTCCTCGTATTATCCGACTTGTATTCTTAAGGTATGTATAGAGATCTAAGCATAGCGAAAATTTCATATAAAATACTGATGTTTGACCAGCGTGAAAAATGTAATGACAAAATTCGCTTGGAATTGTAAAAAGATACGATCCAGTAAAATCAAGTTTAGTTTATTCACGCATGCAGCTGCTCGTGAAAAGAACCGCAGTTAAGCGTAAAGTTGACATTTAGAGAAATAGCGAATCTGTCAGATTTCCACTTCACCGGAGGTGTAAACTGATCGATTTCATGTCACTTGAACTGCGAAAAAGTCAAGAGGTGAACCAACCCAAGGCTGAAAGCCACTTGTATGAACAAGCTAAACTAAACAGAGCAAATTGTCAGGAATCGAATGGAATTGGTGTCATCTTGTGGAGGTCAGTGCGAGTTTGAGCAACTCTCTAATGAACTTTTTTTTTTTTAGAAGCTTATCTTTTTGAAATGAAAGAGATTATTGAGTTGAAAAAAGGTTGATAAAACGGATTTAGGGGCAAAACAGGATAAATGTAAGATTCTACTAATCTGTGCAAATTGAAACCAATTTTATATGATTCCTAAGATGTTTTTGTATTGAAAACCAACAAGGTTTATTTTCTTCACATAGAGACGAACCAGCCCACGGCTGAAAGTCTCTCCAATAAAGAAAAAAAAATCTTCACCACGATTAAAAGATTTACGAGTATGAACAGGAGCTGTTCAATGTTGAGACATTTTTGCATTTTTATCCCCAGTGTGGTTGATTTTTGTATGAAATTAATGCTTGGTGGCCTCACAACTGTGTATCGAATTCTGAGCTCCATCGTCGATGTCATCAGAAGCCGATATCAAGAGAAAAATGTAAATGGAAGTGGAGCAGGGTCGAGCAACCGTATACACTTAAACAGAGATCCTGAGTTCGATAAAAAAAATTACCGTTTTAGACCTAAAAATTACAGATATTTCGGTATTTTCTCGCTCTATTGCTGAAAACTGTAAATAAAATTACCGAATTTCGGTGATTTCACTTCAATTCAACGAAAACGGCAAAAAAAAATTACCGGCAGATCTGTTAATCAGCTTCATTACTGACTTCGGTGAAATATTTTACTGAAGTTTCGGTAAACAAACCTTTCCATTACCGAGTTTGGTAGTGTTCACAGCGAGAAACGTCAAATTCGCCATCTTGTGACATATCGACCTTAAAAAAAAAGTTGGAGGGTGATGTAGAAGACACGACCGCATTGTTGACGTAGGACTACGAAATTTTTGTTCGATTTTCTAGTTTGTTGTTTCGGATATTATTTTGGAATTAAGTGAATTTCATAACTCAACTCTTTTGTAGAAAGTTGTGGTGGCCCTGAACTGTGATGGTTTCTTTATGGCAAGCTTTGCTATAATCACTGGACCTCGTGCTTATTCGCGTTTATACATATCTTTTGCGCAGGATATCAGTTTGGTACGGCATTTGTGACCAGAATACCTTACAGTAGCATGCAACAGGTCAAAACTTGCCCAAATCTGCCAATAAATTTGTTTGTTTTACATTTGCTTATAGCAAAATACTGAACTTTTCGGGAACATTCCCGCCAAAGAACTCACCAACACACTTTTTGTTACATGCCTCATGCATGTAACAAATGAAATTTTGATTGCCTTTCATTTTGAACACGCCGGTAAAGTACAGAGACTCCTCCCATCATGAGTAGTTTGCTATCAAGTAGCGACACTGGCTCCTCTCCTTTTGTACTCTCTGTACTTTAAGTATATACTCTCTGTACTCTGTAATATTTAACGGTTCAGACGATTTCGAAGATGTCGCGCAGCAGGAGAATGCATACGATGAGGGTTTCTCAGTTTATGAAAGTGAAACGGAGTAAATTGAGGCTACAAATAGAACACAATTTATTTCCCAAACAAATAATTTGATTTTTGTATCATTTTGATGTATTTAGTGACAAATTGAATGGGTGAATCATGGGTTACTCTATATAAATTCTATTCCAACTCTTTTCTGAAATGAACTTGGTGGCCCTGAAAAGGGCCGTTTTGTTACCTTGGTGATAAGTTTTAACCTCCGAAACCGTACAGAGTGCGTCCCTGTTGCTTCAGAGTGTAGACGACATCCATGGCCGTGACGGTTTTGCGCTTGGCGTGTTCAGTGTAAGTGACGGCATCACGGATTTTTCTAGGAACACCTTCAGCACACCTCGGGTTTCTTCGTAGATCAGACCGGAAATACGCTTTACACCACCACGTTGAGCCAGACGACGGATGGCAAGCTTGGTAATACCCTGGATGTTATTACGCAGAACCTTCCGATGACGCTTGGCGCCTTCTTTTCCATGATCTTTGCCTCCCTTGCCACGACCAGTCATTATTGCTTGATGTTTGTCGTTGAACAGGTGAATCGATCGAAACTAAGCCAAAAGCGTAGTTAGAAACCTGTTTTATAGACAACCAGCTCTGCCGGTTCCATATTTTCTAGCTTCCCATTGGCTACATACAGTCATGATGATGCAGCTTTATCGATATTGGGAAATTCTGCGTGATAACATCCAGGGCCTGCCATCCGACGTCTGGCTAGACGTGGTGGTGTCAAGCGTATCTCCGGTCTGATCTACGAGGAAACCCGCGGTGTGCTGAAGGTGTTCCTAGAAATTATGATCCTTGATGCCGTCACCTGTACTGAACACGCCAAGCGTAAAACCGTCATGGCCATGGATGTCGTCTACGCTCTGAAGCGACAGGGAGGCACTCTGTATGGTTTCGGAGGTTAAACTTATCACTAACGTAATATTGGTGGCCCTGAAAAGTTAGAAGTCATTTTAGAAAAGAATTAGAATTGAATTTATATAGAATATCCCCTGCTTCCAAGTTAGGTTACAGGATTACAACTCTGGAGAGCAGCGGCGCCGGTGGTGTAGTGGTAAGCGTAATTACCTCTCTCTCAGGTTAGCGTAGTGGGAGCCTCCCTTAGCTCAGTCGTCAAAGGCGCAGCTACAAATCAAGATGAAGAAGAAGAAGAAGGTTAGTGTAATACATGGGTTCAATCCCAGTCGGCGCCGCCGGGATGTTTAGAGGCATAACATCTCTGATCACGCCTTTCTTCGGAAGGGAAGAAAAGCCGTTGGTCCCTGGTTCATGAGTTGATGGGTAGATAGGTAGGGTCCAGGTGTGGGTAGCATTAGTGCTCAGCACGGAAAACAAGATCGACGGAAAACAAATCCAAGGAAAAAAACGGAGAGCATTTTGTGTGGTCTTTGGGGGCGTGTGGTTATGAATTGGCAACAAAATGTTCCGCAAGTGCATCCTCCCTATTCGTACATGCCCGAAGATCGGAGGCGAATGTCATTTCGACTTGTTTCATCTAGGAACCATTCTCTGATGACTGTGTTGGGGAAGCAGCACAGGCATGTACGTAATTGGTGGATTTGTTAGTTATTTGAAGCTTTTGGACAATGCTTGAAATTTACGACTTTTTCAATAGTTTCAATTTGAAAATCAACAGTCAAAAGCATTGTTATCGATGCATACAAATGTTTCTGATCGATTGGTGATTAAATTTTTGAAATTGGTCCAGGGGCAGCTAAGTTATTAACTTTCAAAATCTTTCATAAATTATTTTTTTGGTTTTCATAATGTACCCCCATCTTCCCGAAAGACATACTCCTAGGTCAAAAGTTTGTAAGTGGAGACTTGTGAAAAATAAAAAGTGCAATGATGGAGGCTGTTATGGACCAGCTGCAACACCAAGATGAGTGAATCGTAGATACTTTCCGTAAGTAATGATGTTTCGTTATCTAAATAAATACCCATTGTTACAGATGGCCAATGCTGTTGCTTGTTTTTTTCTGTCGGTTGGAAGTTCCACAATGACCACATAAAAAAGAAAGATTTTATACCGGCAAATACAATTTTGGATTATATCAGAAATGTGATGCAAGAAATGGAAACTTCTAACTAAACTAATTTTCATCTATCATGCGTAAGTGGTGAACGCTTAGCTGCCACAGTAGACACGATGCATGACGCATTTGACATTGCATTGTTACCCACTAAGGCATGCTTATAATAGTAGTATCTTTTATGTAGGCGTTTTGGATCCATGCTCATGCTAGAGGACAGAATCGATATGCTGGGCGCATCCATTACCGTATGGAGTATTTGGCAAGGACCTCTGGAGAACGCGTTATTAAACGTCGGCGTACCGAAGAACAGCAAACTGACCCACAGGCAATCGTAGGCTCGGATGCTACTCGTACGGAACATCGAGGAATTGGTAGGCCTAAAAATGTAACATGTTGCATAAATGACTTCTAATTTACCTAGGTTTATAGATACTCGAGTTGCAATACATCGTACCCAATCAACAAAATAAATGTCGTGTTCTTGAGCCCTGGAAGACTACTTTCTCTAAGCGACAACAATCTCGGGATGCTGATGAATTTCAACAGTACTTGCAAGCTTTTCCTGTTTCTACAGCCTATGATGGAGAATTGGTAGGTGCATCCAAACGTGCTTATCATACGTTAAGATAAATAATTCAATATTTCCACTTTTCTGTCAAACGCAAACCAGCTGATGAGATATAGATAGTGATAGAGATAGAGATAAAAGAGTACACACTCATTTTTTATCGCTGGAAACCGGCTATATGTTGCTGGATTTTTCCGAGCTGATAGTTTAGCAAGCTATCCAGCAAAATATTATTGCTGGACGTCCAATTTAGGGCAATGTTAAATTGACAGCACTTAACTGATTATCCAGCAAAACGGAAGATCAATCATTTTGCTGGAAGAGCAGCAATTAATCATTTTGTTCGACCATTTTCCACAGAGATGGCGCTGTTCCGCTGGTAGGAAGTGATAAAAATCCCCATATAGAAATTGAGAGAAGTGGAAATAATTCGCTTTCGGTGCATATTCAGGTCAAAAAAAGTAAACGACAACCTAAAGAAATTAGTCAGGGACTTTGTCGTTCAGTTTTTTCCCGGAAACTAATGCTAAACAAGCTACAATTTAATAAAAATGATTTTTCCCCATACAATTTTACCTGCTTTACTACCAGTCCCCAGAGAGCCAAAAAATTCAAATTTGAGACAGAAATTCTCTCTCACGAGCTCAATCTCTCAACATGCCATGTATTTTGTTGACACTCGATTTGTGATTTCCCTTTCACAGATTACAAAATAGAGTACCTGACACTACAAAACATGTCTTGTACCTCTATATATGCATTTGCTTTAACATTTGAAGTCCCTCCTTTTTTACATATTCTGCGCAAAAGATACTTTATGCCCCGCCCCATACATACAATTCGGCGGGAAATTCTGTGAGGGGTGAGCTAATTTGTGTGCAGAATGTGTAAAAAAGGAGGGACTTCGAATAATAATTTAAATGCATATATAGAGGTACCAGACATGTTTTGCACTGCAGTGTCCTCTGTGAACAATTATAGGAAAACAGATTGTGTCTAGTTTCCGATAGATGTCAACGCAAACAACAGCTGTGACATCTGATGGAACATGAATGCTGAAGCTTGACAAAATGATCAATTCTCGATTGTTGTTTTTTTTTTAAAGAGCCATATCATTGTTGGAATAAATATTTTATTACACTTTCATGTAGTTGTATATAGTAATTAATTAAATGTGACTGCACTTTTAAAAAAAAAAATCATGTCTTGAAGAAGCTTTGATGGGCCATCCTGGGTGAGTTATTGTTGTTGTTGTTTCTTTATTAAGGACGAAACATGTAAATTTCAGAGAAAAACGAAAGATATACAACTTAGTTTAGGTTGCTAAGGTAGTTTAGTATACTTACTTCATGACAAAAGCTCTTTTTATATAATTTATTTATTTTATTTATTTATTTATTTATTTCCTTAGCCAACGTAGACTAGTACATATAAGAATACAGTTTTGTTTTCTTAAATTTATTTATTTATTTCGTCAACTTTGGACAAAAGGTTAAAAGTATATTTTTTTCTTGAATAAAAATTAAGCAGTGTCAGCTTTCCTATTTTTTATGAATTATAATACCTTATGGAGTAAAAATATTGTTTTAGTTTATGCCGAGACATTGTATAGTCAATGGTTTCGCAGTATTGATTGGAAGAGGTCATCATGCGGATTAATGGCCCATATTTTGCATAATTTGTGTGATGATGTTTTAAGGCAAATAAATTTCGATTTCGGAGTTGCCGAGTAGGTGCATGGAAATTTAATTTTGATAAAAGTTCTGTGGAGTCAATGCGCTGCGAAACGATATCGTTTACAAATGAAACCATTGCATATTCACGACGCTATTTTAATGTTTGCATGTTCATAAGCATGCAGCGTGCTTCATATGATGGAAGAGGAAATGCTGTCCAACCTAATTTACGAAGAGCGTATAATAGAAATTGTTTTTGTACGGATTCTAATCTTTCTTCGTGCGTGATTGAAAAAGGAGACCATACAATGCTGCAATATTCCAGTATTGACCTCACATAGGCGATATATAGTGTTTTAATTGTGTATAGGTCCTGAAAGTTATAGCAAAAGCGCTTGATAAAGCCTAGCATGTTATTTGCCCTGTGAATAGTTGTGTTGTAATGGTCTATGAAAGTTAGTTTAGAGTCTAAGATAATTCATAAATCCCTAACTCTTTCACATTTTTTTACATTTTGATTTCCTAGTGCAATTGAAATATTTGAAGTCTTTCATGTTGTCCATGATATTTTGTGAGTCGAACACTTTGAATATAAAAATAATCATAAATCGTCAAGGTACGAATGATAGATTTTGGCCTGATGTTGACGTTTCATACAGTTTACTGGAACGTTCAGCAAAATGTTTCATATTACGGATTTTTCAGTTTAAGTTAGTTTTGCTGGATGCGATTCAGCAATTCAATTTGCTGGAACAGGATTTCAAAATTTGGTGTGTAAGAAGCCAGTTGTCTCCTCTTCCTCTTAGGAAGATATGTTTTGTTTATAATTTCCATTTTCCTGCCTACTATAGATTTCGTTCGGGCACTCGCTGTTGTGAAATTCAAAAATTCATCGCATGTTTCTAAAATTTTCAAAATTAGTTGCTTTATTCATATTTTTTGTTCTAGACCGAAGATGATTTTCCGCAGGATAGTGGAAGCATTCCACTATTGGTAGTGCGAGAAAATTTCCCTGATGTGATGGATGGATGTGCAGTACACACTAACTTTAGATTACTGGAGCCAGTAAAATTTTACTGGGTTTTTGAATTGCGGATCGCACAGTAACCATCACAGCAATAATGTGCAGTACCGAACTGTCCGTAAAGTCAATCTGTCAAAAATAACTGTAAATTCAGTAAATGGTTTGAGTTGCGTTCAGCAATGTTAACTGGAAAGCCCAGTATTTTGTTTTGTTTATTTTGCTGTAGTTTAACTGACTTGACAGTTATTTTGTTCGTTCTTGTACCGTGTTACCCAGTTTCACACTCATTTTAGATTACCGAAGTCAGTAAAATTTTACTGGGTTTTTGAACTGCGGACACCCAGTAATTAGATCATTTGCAATGTATTATATATATATTATATAATATATTGTTATAGAATACTATTTGTTCAGTAATGCGTATAAAACCATTCTCCGGAGAATTAATCGATGAGCTCAGTACTTATGATCGAAATAATGTTGATTGCATATAATGATTATGATTGCTGCAGCATAAAATTCATCAATTGCTTTCAATATGGCACATGATCAATAATGTTGCATCCAAATTCTACAATACTTTTAACAGCATACGGTGAGT